CTTTGAACACATGCAATTCTTCATATTTTCCCACCCTCCTTCCTTCTCCTGTTCCTCTGTTTAACTGATATGATAATAAAGTGGCAATAAGCCATTTTACATAATGTAAGAATGTGTAACTAGCATCCAGATGGAAATAATGCATTCATCTTTTATCACATTATCAAGTTGTAATTTAATTTATTCCCATAGATAAAATTTAAATTATTAAGTCATTGTATTTCTGACATACTATACATTACATTCACAATAAATTATAACAATAATATGAATATCAGCTAAAGTGTATGGCAATTAATAATTAAAATATTAATTTTTTAAGTGTTGTTATGTATTTTATCTTTTGCTCAGTTGAATTGAAGAAAATAAAACTTTATCTACAGGTACTTTGTTTGTTTATTATTATTTTTTTAAATTCCAATCAGCACTTAGTAACCTAACTTTGTATAAATTCATCTTTCCTGTTGTCATATATAATTATATCTTTTTTGCTTTGCATTGTTATGTAATTTTATCCCAATGAACTTTGCTACCAATGAACCAATAACAGTTTATTTTGATGACAGTAATGTCTTGTTGGACATTTACTGTGTTAATTGTTAATGCTCCTAATTACTTTATTGTTTGTTCGGTTTTCTATACAATAATTATATACGAGGTATGTTTGTAATTCTTTTTATAATGTTCAGAAAATAATGGACTTAAATTATATCATCAATTAGTTTGATGTCTTTATTTTTGTAATGTATCATTTTATTAATCTTGAACATTAATGCTGATGACATAGTGAAAAAGTGTTTTTAATTACTCATTTTTGAATTTAAATATTCCATCTTTAGAAAAGGATTCTTATGTTATTTGAAACTGAAAATATTTTAAAAGTTTTAGAACTCATCAACAATTAAATTTTTAAAAAATTTTAATTGTTGATGAGTTTTGTTTCCAATACAAGTATGTTACTTTAGATAGGATTGGATTAGATTTTCTGCCTTAAAGAAATGAGGGCCTCCTGAGCCAAACAGATAATTAAAAAGTTATAAAATTAGAGAAATAATGTGAAGAAAACTTGTTATACAGCAGTGGTGCACTCAAGATTTAATCTTGGGGAGCTGATTTGAACGGATAAAAAAGTTTCTAATGCAAATTTAATAAAATTCACACCTTATGTTATCACTAATTCATAAGTAATATAGAAATAGAACACACAACACACTATAATTAAAAACATGAAATAAAAAAATACTTTGTTAATTAAATAAGAAAATATTTTTGGAAAATTTACTAGTGTTTCTCTTCTTTTTACTTCGGGGGTGCTAGGGTCCCTTGACTCACCCCCTTGGTGTGCCACTGTTATGCAGTATATTTGTTGTTGTCTTTATCTATAAAAATTTTCTTTATCAAGAAGATTGTTTGCTGCATTTCATATCATTAATAAATCTATAAAAATTTATTTTATTAATCCAATTTACAAACATTATTCATCATCAACACATAAACAACAAGGTGTACAGCATGAGAGACTATACTAGTTTCTTATGCAGTATACTTAACAAAGCACTGATTTAGTAGATGTAAACTGTCTAAATAAGTACATTTTTACAAGTAGTATTCTTTAAATTGCTGCAGATCAATTCTGTAAAGCATCAGAGGATACAAATTATATTATTAAGCAATTTTTTTTATGTTAAAGTTTAGAAAGGTTTCTGGTTATTTTAAGGTTCAGCTGTGTAGCTATATATTTTGATTTATTTCCCTAAGATCTTTCCAACTATTACAACTTATTACTCACAGTCCTAAGATTCTGACATATATAAAAATATTTTTTTCCCATATACAAGTCTTATTTATGAATGCCATTTATTTGTAGATTTATATGAAATGAATATTATAACAACAGTTGGAATACAAATAATTGATTATACTCTTGAAACATTTTATCCATAAATGTATACAGAAGTAGGTTAAATGAATGGTTTTCTTTTCCTCAAACCAAAGGTCATGACTCCAGTAGGGGTGCAACACTTCCAATTCAAGGATAATTTCAGTAGGGAACTTTATTGACATTTGTTGCATTGCTGAAAGGAATTCTTAAAATTGAAATTGTTATTTTGTTTGTAGTTCAGTTTTAAATACGTCTCTAAAATAGTATTAGGGTATATATGATAAATATCAGTTTAAGAATATTATTTGGCTATTTATATACATTTCTATTGTTGAAAATGAGCTTCATCGTTCTAAAAATTAGACAAAATGACATAATAAAGCTGATACTATTCAACGAATTTCAGCTCCAAATGCAAATAAAATACTGTATTTCTTTTTTTAACATTCATAAAGGACAGATAATTGATATTTTCCAACATGCTTAAATTAGCTGGAATATTACATTATCTAGGAGTATAATTTGTTATTATGCAAGGGATCGCGGTCCCCTTGTTGGAAAATTGTTTTATCAGCGCAAATATACCATAAAAGTGTATTAATTAATACGCTATCGAGTGAGAAGATTGCACGCAACTGATAACGAAAGCCAAAGCGGTATATCGAGTAGTATTTCCCAACAGTCAGAAACATTATTCATAATATTACGTAACAACGAACTTGAGCGTCTTTATACGTCATTACGCTATCTATTCACATTTGGATGAGGTATAAAACTGATGCTCTTTATTGTGCAGTATATTCGTAATGACGTCGTAACAAAAGAGTCGTTTAAAACGGGATTTAAAACCGCATGCAAATTATATGTATCTGTAAGATTTTGTATTACTGTGGCAGTCGTTAATGGCAACTCCCCTTAATAGAATATAATGGCATAGCTCTGTAGTTCGGTACATTTCCGCATTCTCTCTCCCCCTCTCTCTCCCTTTGTACCCAACTTAGTGAGGTCTGTGAATACCATACAGTTATATTTTGAAGGTCATATAACGTGCAAATATTCCGGACGGAGGTTTGTTTCCTCTCCCCCTTTCCGTTCCAACTTTTTATTAAGCGAGAGAAATTCATTAAGAGTAATTTTCCTCAATGCCGATAAGTAAGGAATTAAACGCTATTAGGTGTATGTTACGTTCGTAGAATACTTAATGTACGTTCATACGTCGTAGGACATTCGTTATCGATCATTAAATGCTTAGTTTTTACTAGCACTCACCAGTTATTATCCTTGGAGGAGAGGTATTTGAACCGAAACTTTGAGTAAGGATTTTACTGTTTTTTTCCCCTATTTCTCTTGTAATAGAAAGTTACGGGTGGTAATTTCATATTTTTATAGGTTTTTGGGCGGTAAACCTAACTGTAAATTGTAATTTTAAAGTTGAATTATCTGGAATTGCAAATAAATTATTGATGAAAAATTGTAATATGTTCTCCCCAATGGAGCTTTAGTCATTGTTGAATATGGGGAAAATTGGCGCTGACGTTTGAGATCAATACGTTCTGTTCGTTGTATGTATTGGAAAATTTGCGTTACATTCATACTTTTATAAGTATATTTTACGATTTCTATTATTTTGTGGTGTTGAATACCGTAATTATCATCACTGTATTCGTGTTGCAATGTGCGGACTTCATACACGCGCATTCGTATGGATAGTATACGAATGCTACACATCATAACGCATTGAACTGATAGACATGTGTTGTGTATAATGTTCAGCATATGCTATACATTAACATTGAACATGCACCACAAACCTTCTTACATGGTACAATATGTATGAGTTCGCGCTGTTAAGTAATACATGCTTATTTATATCACAGTTAATTAACGCTTGCAGATATTTCATTACAATGCTCTAATTAATTGTAGGGTATTACAATTAACACAGGTTCTGTAGCAGTGCGGTTTCTAGAAAAGTCACGATTCCCTCCATTGATTTTTCTATTAACCGCCATTACTTCAAAGTTAAATCCTATTCTTTCATGTAATTGAACGAATTGTTTGGGTTTTTTGCCAGGTGTTTACGGCGTACGGCTCGAAATAAAGAGTTTGTTTCACGCCCCGTTCACGTGTATAAGAAGAGATTTCTTTTCTGCAGTCACGTAAGAAAGGGGGAGGGACGCGACCGTGTCGTGACGACTCGAGTCGGAATTATTTCTGACTCACTTGGAGTAGAAGAGACTTTTCGATTGCGTATAATTTTAGAATTTGCGTTGAGTCATAAGAATTCATACTGACTGCAGTCCAGATCGCGTGTGAGCTGTAGCGACTCTTTCCCTCTATAAGAAAAGAAACTGAATTAGGGATGCTGAGCTTTCATCTCTTTCCACTAGATGGCACAGGCTGTGACAGTTCTGAGGAAGAGAAGGTCGTGTAGCGTCCGGTGACGTCACCAATTAGTAACAATTAATAGACAAGGGTAGGGCTTGCACTGGCGACTAGCCAATGGGATGGCAGGATTCCTTCGACTGCGGACCTGTTGCCTACTTGTCAGTCGGGTCGAGTTCTGTTTTTTTTTTTTTTTTCAATTGCTTCGATCTGCAGTTCTCTCGTCTCCTCTTACCTGAAATGTCGATGGGTCGGACAAAGTGGCTTGACGTTCCGACCCCGTCCGTTCTGATACCGACGCTGTCGTTCGCTATGGAAGACGGTTAGAAACGGCGACATGCCCACCAGTTGGAGCGAGTTGGCCCTACGGTGTGTAAGTACTGCTTCCCGAATGCCGAAACGTCGAGGGTCATCGTCGCGAAAGTAACAAGGTCGGACGCTTCTCTCCCATCTGTTGTTGATTTAGCCTCTAGCGCACGAACGGGGAGACATCTGCTGGCCTTTCTTGAGGGTTTGAGTAACAGGTTTGCGGACCGGATGGGCTCTTGATGGTCGAGGACGATGTCAGAGAAGTGAAAAAAAATGGTATATAGACCACCTGTCCTCCCTCCCTCTGGTGGAATGGAGCGGGTCGAGACATCCCGAGTCTGCAACTTCCGGAGTTTTTTCCCCCTTCCCTTCCCTCTGTTTCTACCTAAAATCTCTATTAATCGTGACTTTGTTTTCGTTGCAGGGAGGGATATGTTCCGTGATTGACTCAGTGGAGAGCATGAGAGGAGGGCGGGGAGTCTCTCCTATGGCTCCACCGACTGTCAGGATCAAGCACATTACCAGGTGAGTTTCACGCCCGTTTTTAGTACGCTGCTTTAATATAGGTCGCGCCCGTTAGTATGTTTCGCCTGCTCCCCATATATAGGCTTGCGGCTGTCATTTTCGATGTTAATTTTTTTGTGACGCTAACAAATTCTAAGAGCGCCCAGGAGGAGAGAGAATTCGATATATTATTGTTTACAGATTTTTGACGGCTAATAGTTCGATACAGAACGCTTCTATTCCGTAAACAAAAGCCGTTCGGATGGTGGGAATAGTACCATAGTTTTCGAGAAGTTCCCCCCAGGCAAATTTCCTTCCGTTAGGCCCTAGGGTGCATGGGATAGGATACATGGGCTGGGCTCTTAGAGAACGGTCAGACCCTCGGGCTCCCACCTATTTGAATGAGTTAAGATAACTGTCCCCCGATGCGTATCTTTACCCCGTTAAAGAGATGCCTTCGATAACTAGCCACGTGCTGCACAGGGCGAAGCGCTTGGAGCCATTCGAGAGCTGAATAATTCCCGAAATTAAGTAGGCAAATCCGTGCGATCTCCATCACGTTTCACTCTGTCGACCATTATATGGTGATAAAAACGAATTATCACGTTGTTAGCCTCAATAGAGCGTTGAAAATTTTTGCTCCCCCGTTGCGTGTAGACAGTACTCGTAAATGCGAAATCTGCGAAAGGTCGTTAAACCACAATCAAAGGACAAAGCTGTAGTCCGTTAATAAGACCGGAAAGTGAAAGGTAAATTTAGGTGTCACTGCGTTAAAATGGTAATTTTCTCGTTTGTTATACGAAACTTGTATTGCGTAATATTATTCTACTGATACACGTTATTAAAATCTATCAAAAGGAAACCTGCTAAAGCCAGTTTTTATATATTGAAAATTATAGTTTAGAGGCACTGTAAAGCAAAAAATTCAAGCAGTTTTTTTCTCTCCTTTTTGTTTTGAAGATAAGGGTGGTGCTCTTTCTTGACACGTGTTCAAATGGGGCCTTTTTTTTTAAAACCCAGTCAGAGGTAAGGAGCAGGTCGTATCCTCTAGGGTTGTCTTTACCCCCAGCGAGAGCCAAATTGTTTATCCTCACGAAAGAAACCACTTTCGGAATCTGTTTTTCTACGACTACTCTAGAAAAACTGCAAAGTGTGTCCGGTCTGTAATGGTATTCCTCTCTGGCGCAAGCAATTTTTATAAATTTCGTTTCGACATTGCATAAAACTTCCCTTTGAAGCCATGAATAACACCTGTTCCTAGAGTATTCGGTAGTTAGGGGTTCGTCTCCGCACCTGCGATGGGGTGTCAATGCCCTCTTTAGTAAAAGCACCGCTCGTTTTATGGCCCTCCATAGCTTAGTATGCATTGTAAAACATGTCGGAAGTGTAAAACCCGCGACTGAAAAAAATCCATTATAGTGTTGTGACCCCTCGTTGCGTGGAATACGACGCTTCTGTTTGTTGTGTGGCTTGCTACGCGTTCTGTATCTATTAGTATGAACTTAAATCATGTCCCTCTCGAAGAAAATTGCTATTGCCCCTTCTTAACCTAGACAAATGCTGCGATTCTTGAGCCAGTTGCTCGATATCCGAAGGTTTTATTTAGGATCGCGCAGTGATTTAGCGCCTGAGGGTCGGTTGTTTTACCGCCTCTACGCTTTCTAGCTCCGCTGTAGAACTTTAACCCCGTGTAGGGTTGCACAGCGTGGTGACATTCTCCCGCAATTACGTCGTAACGTGACAAAATACTGCTTGATAATATATCACGTGGTATCTGGAGTGAAAGTAGCATCCATTAATCTTCTAGAAGATGGCGTCTTAGAGCCTCTCCAATACCTTAAAAACATCCAAATGTCATCGAGACGTATTTTTTCTTTGGAGAACTTCGAGTGGTTCATTACGAGCCGACTGTATATTTACAGAGACTTTCTGGATATAACTTGATATCTCGGAAGTATAAACGTTTAACAAGCGTCAGATCTAGTTTTCGGGGGTGCTGATGGGTTAAAGGTGCGTTAGCAAGAGGAAAATTTCTCTTACGAGCTGGGTCACATGAGGCTCAAGATCAGGAGAAAAACGAAAAATAAGTTATGATATTGTTGACTTTAATTGATAATAGACTATAATTTAGTGTATACCGTGGTGAGGAAGGTATCTTTATAACCTGTGCGTAACAGGTTATAAAGCGCGCGCGTGCGTTTTGTATATGGGCCTATATATATATATAATTGCTTTAAGACTATGCCGTATGTATTAGAGTATTTTCCTCACGTCCCCTATTATGATTTGAATTAGGCGAAGTGTCGCAACTCACAAGTATTCACGTGTGACACGTGTTTATGCTGCATCGCACAGTATTGTTAAATGTAAATATTCTAAGCTCCGTATACACTTTAAAGATCTACGCAGCCGGATGATACGCTGCATACGAGTATTTAGGTTTCTGATGGATGTGTTTTCGGTAGAAGTTAAGGGATGATTTCAGTAACAGTTTACGCGAACTGACTGCCCCATCCTGCTCGTTGTGGGGATAGTAGCAGCTTGAAACTCTGTAGATGTGACGAAACATGTAATCTATCGGAGAGCTTTCGGAGCGTGGCTCTCCGTGGGAAATTCAAAACTCATTTTACTATATCGTGACTCATAAAAGACCACGCGCTCGCAAAAAAGACGCTTTGTACTTAACCTTCTTTTGTATCATTACAGAAACGTGAATGGCTCGACCAGGTTCCCGAAACTGGACGAATGCGCCCACTTTCATTACGAGAATGTGGAATTGGGTCCGGTTAAGGTAAAAATATTTAGAACGACGTTTAAAACGCACAAAAATTCGCCCGAAATGGTTAAATACGCAATCATTTTTTTTGTACGTGTTTAGATGGGCCTTTACGACGAAAGACAGGATGCGGGCAAGGCAACAGTAAGTGGTCCCGAGAAGGAGAACGAATTGAGAAATCACTGGTTCTGCGTACGAGTCATCAGTAACGGTAGATTGTGGACGGTTCGAAGGAGTTACGACAACTTTCGAATGTTGGATCGCCAGTTGCACAGATGCGTCTACGATCGGAAATACAGTTTGCTACCCGAGCTGGTTCCTATAGAGCAACTCCAGTGCGACACAGAGGTGAGTTCTTCTTCCCCCTCCCCCGATCGTTAGTGTCTTTGGATCCCAGAATCCACATGAGTCAGTCACTGAGTCAACACGTTGCTTATCTTCGAGCGAGCCGGAGGGGGAATGAGAAAAAATCATTAATCTTCCGTCCCGCTCGAATTATGCCATTAGCGACGGGATTGTTCGCATAATTTAATAAATTTTTACTTCTTTTTTATAGGTTAGGATTATTTAAATGACCGTGACCATTAATTTAATACTGGAACCGAGCCAAGGGAGACACCAAAACAATATTCTAAACGGCAGCTTCGACTCTTTTAAGAATGGATCGAGTAGGGGGATGGAATATGTATATATATATATATATATATATATAAGCGGTGCCCGGGCCAATCCGTTATGTTTAAAGTCGAAAAACTCCAGATCTCCATCGTTAACTAGCGAGATAGTAGTCCTTTGTCCCGCCGAAAAGTTTGTACAAAGTCTGATTTTGCTTTCAAGGAATTAATTGTGACGTCGACTTTCCTCGTCCCACTTTCGACTGGAGCGTTACGCCGGACACACTTAACTTTCCCATGAATCATTAAGCGATCGATAGCGTGACGTGTGACGTTTCGGCGCGGGAGGCAGTAGAAAAGCCGGATCTGTTCGTTTCTCGTGTCGTATTGTCGATAGAACGCGGGAACGTTCCGTTCTGTGACGTTTTATGCCCATTGACTAGAGAACTCGGACGCCGCGCGGTCACCGTGCAAAGCGGTGTCTGCTGCCAAACTGGTGCCACTGACGATATCAAAGGATACCGCCTGATATTTTTTTTTGTGTGTGGGGCTCATTCACAGATCGGTAGGACGGGTGCCAGCAAGCGTTATGAATGACTTTTAACCGAGTGCCCGCTAGGGACGATACGAATTTGAGCTTCGCACCGCCTTTCAGAACGAATCTACAGATAAATTTCGTATCGATTAGGCGCAGGCGCGGACGATGCAGAAATCTGTCAGATTTTTGTATGGCTGTGACGTCATGTAAATTTAAAATTTGTCTTGGCTCAGTTCCAGAGTGCAATGCAGAGCGTGTGCCTTGTGTAATGTCTAGTGTTTCGAAGCTTCGTTCCGCTATACAATTTGGGATGTGTTTCGCGAATCTGGGTGTGAAAAATTTCTCTTCTCCTTCGTACACAAATTCTCTCTACAAACCACCCTCTCCATATTTGTAAAATACAAAATAGTTTTGCGGGCGTGTATGAAAATTTTCCTCCATATTTGATGAGGGTAACGCTGGAGACGTCAAACCACTCGAGTTTTGGGCGAAATTCTTTTACTCCACTTTACACTAGAATAAAATCGAACATATTCAATTTTGCTTTTAAAACGGTCCCCTGCAGTGGAGAATATTTAAGAATTTGTAGATTTTAACTGACGCAAAGGCTCCTTCCGGATTTTACTGGTGTAGAATGAAGTCCGGATCAGATCGTGACGTATAAGCCCGTTGTACTGTTTTCCTGTAGGCCGTGTTCCGGAGCCGGATCTGGTGTCTCGGGCAAGCTGTCATCGCGTACGACTTGCCTACTCCACTCTACCGTAGCACGACGCCCTTCTCAGACTTGGGGTGCGTTGCGAAGTGCAGTTTGTGGGTCAGGCGCCGCTGCATTGTTCTCCCCCACCCGACGAAATCCGTTGGATAGAATTTCGACAGTTTGACGCGAATGCCGGAAGACACCTGGATGCGAGACACGCCCGGTGAGTCGGATAGGGGTCGTTGATCCCAGCCGCGCGCGACCCCAGCTAACTGTCGAGGTCGAAGGTCGCCGCTGGTTCCGGGGTTCAGTTTTGATCGTGGTCACAGTCGCTCCACCGGTTCGAATGGCGAACGGTTGACAGTTTTGATGGCGGCTCTGTCCACCCGCTTTCCGATTTCGCGCGCGCCAAATTCGCTCAGACTGCGTGTCTAGCGCGTTGCTTCCCATGTTACGACATCGTCGGTCACGTGCCCGTTTTACCTCACCTTCTCGCGACGAAAAAAAAGAAGCATCACTCTGCTTCCCACAATCGTTAGGGGTAGGGCGCGTGCGGCGGCGGTGGTCGACACGACGCCGGGTCAGAGAGTACTCTGGCACGACGCTACAGTCTCTGCACGCTTCTTCCGTACGCGTGCGTGTTTATCGTTGGGAACCGATCCGTTTAACCGTGCGTTTACTTATTATCCGTGCCGGTTAGATCACCGATCGGTAGCACGGTCTCGAGGAGGTAATTCGAATAAGGAAACGAGGCCGGGACGAACAGACGCGCCTGTTTCACGAACGGATAAAAGGAAACATTGATCGAAAGGGGACGAATTAGCGTGCGGCTCGTTCGCGTATTTAGTAAATGCATGCATGCATGCGTTTCTTCGTTTCCCTCTTTCTCCGACACTCTTATGCATTCCGGATCGCGGCGTCAACTGGTACCAGATGTGCATCTTCTGGGAATGCACCGGTTTAATGTGCCAAACCGAAGTTTACACTCATCGATCGGTGCACGGAGGACGTTCACCTGTGCGTATCGAGCGGAGTTTTAAAACCCGGCAGACTCGCCTCCCCCTCCGTTTTGTATATACATTACATCTCTAATTGTTTTCTTTCAGGATTACCTTCGAAACACTTTGACGTCCTACTTGGATAGGTTCTCGGATTTGGCAGGTAGTCTGATCAGTTGCGGCCCGGTGCTCAACTGGTTGGAGGTGAGTTCGGCCAGTTTTGCGCCCGTTAATCGGGGGTGGGTTTGTTGTGGGTCTGTCCTAACGCTGGTTATTTCTCTCGCCGCAGCTCGACAATCGCGGAAATCGACTGATCGTACCCGACGAAGCGGCCATCAACACGCCTGCGGTAGCTGCCGCCTACGTAGTTAGAAGATATACGGCGCAGGCCACCGACGAGATATCCTTCGAGGTGAGTATATCCTTCTCCTCCTCATCTTCCCCTCTTGTCCGCCCCTTGTTAACGGTGTGGCATACGGATGGCGCGTACCGCCGGCCGGCCCACTTAGCGCGGTTCCGGGAAAGTTGATGACGTACTTATTTCTTTTTTTCCGTTTCTGTAAACAAATTTCGTCGCGCGGTCCTTTATCCGGCGGATGGCTCCCCCCAGCGACTTTTTTCCTTCTATCCCCCTAGTTTTAAAATTAGTATCACCCGCGCCTGGGACGGGGGAGGGAGTATAGGTGCTTTCCCTCGGAGAACCGGCGGGAGGAAGTTGTCACGTGACGGCCGCCCGCCATTTTGATGTGGATCGTGCGCCGTTCGATTCGTAGTTCGCTTACTCCCGGGTCGCTCGTCGGGAGATTGCAGCTTTGGACGTGTGCCAGTGTGTTCGGGACCTTTGCAGAATTGTTAATCGTGGGGCTACGTGCCGGTGGCGTGCCGTGGAAGAGATTCGGAAGAAGGTCGCACCGTCGTCCACCCTCCGTGGCTAGTTGGATCAAGGACGAATGCTTGCTGTCGCTGCCAGCTTTTTTTAAATTTTGTTTTGTACTCGGTCCGGAGCCAGGTCGTCGTCTACGAGTAGACCGTCTGGCCGTAAACATTTGCGAAATGGACGCCAAACAACTCCAGTGTTGCGCGTCGCCACTCGATTTCACACGAAAAGAAGGATGCTGTGAATAGATTTCTGCTCGAAGTGTACGTACGGATGCTCGAGTTTGAGTTACCATTCGTTTACTCGTCGGAAAAGTCGTCGTAAATAATGGCATTTATACGTTATTCCTTCTTTTTTCAGTAAATTTTAAGGAAGTTGGGGAGAGAAGTTTGAGTTGTTAAATCTTTTTCCCCATTCCTCGCAGGGCATGTTGTATAACCCCCTGCGGAAATTCTGCCCAGAAGAAATAGAATGGTTTTTGGGTTATAGTGTGTTTTGTTTTCTTACAGGTGGGAGACATGATTTCCGTCATCGACATGCCTCCTCCGGAAGAATCGACGTGGTGGAGAGGAAAGAAAGGTTTTGAAGTCAGTATTACTTTCGTTTTATGGTAATAGAAATTAGTAATTGAACAATCGAGCCGGATTGACTATTGGGATAGGATTGTCATTTGATTATTAGTATAACTAGAGTTTTGTTAAAAATGTAAAGTAAAAGAGAAGCTAGAATCACATAATGTGTCTTCCTTTGGCAGTGAGAAATACTGACATTTCAGTATTTTATAACGGTATAATGAATAATTAATTATGAATAGGAATTTATCGGAAATAAGATTTAGAATTTAAGTAACATAAGAATTTAAATCTTTGAATATTTCCTTTTATTTTATATGTAAGTAAATTTCAAAAACATATATATATATATATAATCTGATGCTAGTTTGCTCGTTCATGGTATTATTTAGGACAGTTTGTTTAGTTAGTTTTATTTATAAAGTTGTATAAGGTTAGATTAATTGGTGTCGTTAATCTAGAATGTATTCTCGGTCATCTTTGAAGCCGATTTAAACTGCTTTCTTTGCGGAACCATATACAATTAATTTCTCTGTAATAAGTTTTACCAAAAATTGACTCTCTTATAACCAGTAGATTTATGTAAATGCAAAGCAAAAAAATTAAATCTTAGAAATTTATAATATTTTACTTTATTTTAGTGTGATTTTGCAAAATGGAATCGATTTTGTCGAAATCGTGACATTTAAAATGAATATTGAGTTTCGTTCTGTACAATGTTTTACTTATGTTAAATCTTATTTAAAATATTACTATTGAATTTCATCATTTAGCTGACCTATTACCTTTCTGTTTTATAAGATACAAGATAATTATAAAGTTAAGTCAGTTCTAAATTGCATTTATTCTCTGTTGAGAACAAATTTAGCATCCTGTAACTTAGACTGCTGCTTGTTTGATCACGTGGTTGACTTCTAGTCTGTCGCCCAAAATCAAATGCGTTCTGATCATTTAGCAATAAGTGGTTTAGGAAATGGTTGCTTTTAAAGTTTGCAAATGATTCAGATAAATAAGATTTTAACTTTGCTTAATTTAATTTTTTGACAAGTTCAAGGTTAAGTTGGTGCTTAATTTCAATATTTAAAACATTTTTTGAAAAATACATGTTAATAAGCAGTTTCTAAAGTTAGCAGACTTAGTAACTGTAACAGATGTAAATTTATTCTGCTTAGTTTGCTAGTTTACAGAAAGATGGAAATCTGTCTCAAATACTCTTAACATTCTGTGTGTTGTGTTGAATGTAAAGGGTATATTTTAATGTAGCTTTATTTTAATTCGTTACATCTTAGGAATGGAATTTAGTTTAAGTATTCAGAGTTATTTTAATTCAATATTTAATTATAATGGAATTATTAACTTGGTTTCCATTCCAAGATACTTTTTTTTTTCTTGCTAATCTATTCGAGTATAGTTGCAGTTGTTCTCGTGTAGGTATGATAATTTTGTATGGCTAGTGGCAGTTATCCATTAGCATAACATTAATTGATATTCAGCTGATTTGGACCAAATCGATGGTTGATATGCATATTTATCAATGAAAATTTATGTTAGAAAATTAAAAGCCAAAACGAGTTTCATCGTCGTATTTTTTTAATAGGTTTCGCATCATTCGGAGAGTGCAATTATCCAGGAAGGGCTCGGTCCCGTTTGCCTTGGATCGGAAGCTCAACTAAACTGACTAAATGGACTTTCATGCCAATCATTTTTAAAAATTAATTAAAAATTTTTAAAAATATTTGACAATTAATATTTGACAATAAACATAATTTGACAAACGAAAATGAAATTCTGCAATAAAAACTTCAAAATACTATTATGCTTCTTCATAACACACAACACTTTTGTTTTAGGAATATGTATACATATAAAGTTATTTTCATTAATTAATGAAATAAGATATCTGTCCATTCAAAGACAATACAAAACAGTTTTGTTTATAGCAAAGATGGAGATGTATTTAATATTCAAACAATGTCAGATATTTTTTCCAGTATTATACATTGCTAATTGACTAATTGTGATTGTTGAAGTGTCATTCTAAATGTTTTAGAGAATTGAATTTGGCTGTCTGTACAAGAAAAAATTCAAACTAAGATTAATTAATAAAAGAAAAATAATTAAACCAGTTTGCAAATAGAAGAAATTTATATATATATATAGTCTTGTTGTATACATTTAATCACTTAGGTTAATTACTTATGAGTATGTCAAGGTTTTGAGTTAAGCATGTTTTAGAATGCTTAAAAAATCATTCATTGAAGGAATTGATGACTTCATTAAGTGAGTTAAAATTCAAATGACCGACTTAAGAGCCAAAACTAAAATTTATTTGTCTTAGAAATGTTTCTAAATCTTTTTGTTATCTTCAATCAAATGAAATTTGAATGGCTTTATGATTATTAATTTTTAAATGTGACAATAAAAAATTGGTTTAAGATTTTTTTTAGTTTAAAATGATCTGAATACATGAAATTTTAATTGTTTATATGTCTGCGAGTTGTCGTAATTGAAGAATATTTAGAAAAAGCGGTGTTTATTAGAATTCAAAGTTTTACGATGCTTTAAAGCTGAAAATATCCATTTAAAAATCAAGAAATTGAAAGTCTTATTTCTGCAGTGATGACGCCAAGAGAGTTTCGGAATGACGTAACACTAGAGCTTTAAGCAGTGACATATGCTATGAAAAAAAATATCATATGGCAACCATACTGAATTTTATTTAGAAAATTGCAGCCTTTTTTGTTTTTCATCATCATTTAAATAAGGAATTTATTAAAAAATTGTAAATAGATAATTTTAGAACCTGCCAAATTGCTTAAAAATTGAATAGGTTTCTTCAGTTTTTCACATGACATGATGTTATAATGAAAAAAATATGTTGATTGACCACTATATGAGTCTACTAATATATGAGTCTACACTATACTAAGTCAAACACTTATTCATCTTCAAACTAGCAATTAGAATATTATTAATAAATGTTTTTTGTGTAAAAATTTGATACAATTGTATTTATGATAAAAATGCCTTCTTATTTTTCATCGACTTAAAATTCTGAATGAATTTTTTTATACTGCTATATTAAAATTTATGCCCTGCTTCAACAAAGATAAACTGTTTGCTAGTAATGTAGTTGAACAAGCAAGTAGTGTTGGTATATATTTTTTTAATTTTTTTTTTTTACTTCAGTGATATTACTTCTATAATAATCGCATTATCTATGAATGAATTATTTATTGTGATGTGTTTATTATATAACAGACTCGAGAAATCTTGTCAATAAATTTTGTAAAAACTTCAAATAAAGCATTTCTGATATCACATTCATCTGTCACAGGTGTTAAAGGGGTCGGAAATCAATATAAAAAATAAATCTGCAGGAGATGTGCATATAAATAGTTAATGGTGTTACATCTTGCCCTACAAAGTTAGTTTCGGTGTCAGATTTCGTACTCTTGGTATCATTCAAAGATGGTTGATTATAGAGTGAAGTACTTTTTTATTTTGTTCTCTCTTTAAATATATAATTAATGTTAGTAAAATTTTGTTTAAGGTAAAGTTTTTAAAGGATAAGTTAGTGTTACCTGTTGGGGACAAAATTATATCTATTTTTTTTTTAATTAAATAAATATTAATGAATATTAGTAGCTAACAATATAATTTAGTTTCAGTTCTTCCTTTTTCTTTCGCTGATGAATAATAAACTTTAAAATTTGGTAAGTGTGATTGCATGTAACAAAAAACCCACTTGACGACCCTGTAATTATAAATTGTTGAAGTTGTGCATTATTTATGATTCTTTAATGGCTTCTAAAGATGCTTCTTTCTATTCAAAAGAAATATATTTAAATTTCAATGATCTCGAAATAAGTTCCAAACTTGTAGTAGCATTAGAGTTGCTGGTTTAGATTGATTTATCTGTTGATAGGGCCTGAGAGAGATGAGTCACAAATCCTGTTTCATACTCCTCTCTAAAAGCCATAAAAAATTATGATTAAAACAAATAAAAACAGATTTTTCATCACTTTTTGATAGAAACTTTAATTTTAATACTTTCATATTATATTATTTACATAAGAATACTAAATTTTCAGATTTATCTGCATCTAAGACCTAGCTAAATGGCTCTACTTGATGTTATACTTGATAAAGATTTATTTAATTAGATTTATAATGAATTAGACAAGCAGTTTTATTATACTGACAAGACTTGTGACAAGCATTCTTTAAAATATATTGATAGTGAATATGAAAATTATGTATTGTATTGTACGTACAAAGCATTTACAAATTAAAGATAGAAAAAATAAATTAAAAAATATCATTCCTTGTATTTTTCTTTTAATAAAAGAAAATGTTAGTGGAAAGAATAATCTGTATTTTCATTATCTCTATTTTTGTTGGTCAGCAAAAGCATATTAAATTTGTTCCAGATCATTTTAATCAGCTCAGTGTGAGGATGACCCAAAAATCAGAAAATACAAGAAGATTCATGTCTGATAGAATATAGAATGTGGCAAAGTCACAAATTTTTCTAGTCTTTTGATAGTTTTTGAAATAAAATTTCAGAAGTAGATGTCAATTACTTAGCAACTCAGATGAAGCAAGGTCATACTTGTTTAATTTGTTAATTTTTTTTCCCCTTTGATTTTAATGCATTTGAAATGCCTTTCAACACAAATTTGAACTAATGACAAACATTGGCACACTCTAACAGCTGCTAATCTGTAATCTATTGCTTTTGAATCCTTTGGCTTGATAAAATTGTTTGCATAAAACACGAGTTCTCCTGGTAGTTATAAATGTTAATGAATACAATTTCTTAAAATAACAAAATATATTTTAATATTGCAATTTAGTTAACAAAAGTAATTGAAATTTTTCATAAAGTTTTATATTTAACATATATTTTATTTCGTTAGATATTTGTTGAAGCTTTAATTAGTTGATATTACAGATTTTTGTGCCATTGTCATTTTGATAGTTTCTAGAGGGATATTTCAAGAATCATAAAT